TCTAATCTAAAATTAAATTTTTATCTGCCCCTACCGAAGAAATTAAAAACATTATTTACTCATCTGTTCTTCTTGTTAGAATTCTTGTAAAAACTTCTTATTAGAACATTGAGTTTTTTGACGAATGCTCTTATTTCTTTCAAACAAACAAAATTTCGAAACGATTTCAAAAAGTTGCAGTTAATAGCATTTTGAAGAATTTGTAATGCAATTTTTGTAACACAAACAATATAGTAGTATTGATATGTATCTTAAAATTTGTCTAAAAATAAAAGAAAAACCTATTTCAACACAGTTATCTGATTCGCTACCTAAAAATTACTGCTTCTGCGACTCATTTATTTAAATGACATACTTTTATGATAATGTCATTATAAAAAAAAAAAATTTATGTAAATTTTATGACCTGAAATCAAATTAGTAAGCAATATATAAGCATATTAACACATATTTATAAACTGGATCGCAAACAAGTGCTGGCATTTAGAGTACACAGATCTAGCAGCTTTTGACAACACACATACATATGCAACATGCCGGCCGGTTTTCGGGTGACTCACCAACCACCACTCGAAATAGACTTAATGGAAAATGCGACAAATCATACAAAAAATCACTCATATACCACAAAACCAATGAATGAGAGAATGAATGGCACTTGTGTCGAGAGCAAGCAATTTAAGCACCACTGATTTGTCAGCTGACACTCATATTGATTTTCGAACTATTTCCCAATGAAAAAGCGCTAAACGAATAATGGCAAAGGGGATTTGCGGAAAGGCTCGAAAAACTCCCACGTTTGGTAGGGAATATTGCATAGCTGAAATATGAGTAATTGCTATGTGAAACTGCCAACGGCAAAGCTGACAGGCGAACAAGCAGAGTAGGAGCAGCAGCGAACGGTCGCCCGCAGCAGCGATTTGCAATATTGGACAGATTGAAATTCTGTATTGGCCCAGAGATACACACATTCATGAAAATATATGCACTGCAGCAGATTTTTATGATATTTAAGTTGCAGTTATGTGTATGTAAGTATGCATGTGTGAGCGCAGATTTTTATGAACCTGAAAATCAACATTTTAGTCGTAAATTTTCATGGCGCCCACACACTTCAACACTACAACATTTCTCCAACTGGCTGCGGATTATCAGACAGTTGCACACATTCTTGCCACAATCAGCTCCGCTCTGATGGAAAAACCACCATCGATTGTGTTGCTCATTTGCAAAGCCAGCCAAGCAATTCGCTTGTTTCCAGGGGAACATTATTGACAGCATCTCATATGGGGCAACCGCAGCCCATTCACCACACACAATGGCTGTCAGTCAGATGACGCGTCAGTGACAAACGAGTATATGCCATAATTCTTCGCATTCAGCATAAATGTGCTGGATACAGTCTCTTCTTTCCTCATTATCTGCCATGGCAGTGCGACTCGCTCGTATGTAATTAGTGTATGAAAGTACGGGTGCAGATGCGGCGTAAACATACAATATGTTGCAATTGCCGCAAATGCAAGAGTAGTCGTAAGTAAGAAAGACATTGCGAATGTAATTACAAAAGCAAAAACTCGAACTATTTCGAGAAGTTATCTGGAGCTAAACATAGCAGCTGTAAAGTGTCGGCAACATGTGTTCTCTACTAGCTAGGCAATATGCTATATAAATGCATTTGAAGTTGTGTGCGCGCAAATATTTCCTGCATTTGTTGTTGTTGTAGCACAGTGGTTGCATACGGCATTCGGCAGTGCTGACTGGGAACTGAGGCGAATGCAGTTCAAATAACAACTTGGTTCCAGCTTTTGTGGTGTGGAATTGGCATGTTGTGGCATACATACTTCACTTCATTTACTGGAAGCCATATACAAATTTTGTTATTGCATTAATTCTACTTCATTTTTAATTATTTGCTTACATTTATGCTTTTCTACTGAGTAAGAAACTTAACGTGAATGTCTTCTACAAATATTTAGCTATAAACTAGCTTCACTTTTTTAGGTTATATTTTGATGCATACTAACTTATTTAATTTTCAGTTAGTGATAAATAGTACTTGATTGCTACAAACGAACCATTTTCTGAGACAAAATTCGTATCAGTAAAATAAAAACCTATAATTTTTTTAAAGATTGAAAGTACAATACTATTACGCGTTAATCTATAATTCTCTGTACTACATGTTTTAAAGTCCATCCATTAATTCATTCCCTTACAAGCATCATTCATCGTTATCACGGCTTAAAAGTCCCTAAAACGTTCGCAAAATTTTCTTTCGAACAACTCAAAAGCTGCACTCGATCCCGCTTATACACCAGTTCGGTGAGATAAAGCTTCTACGATCAACTCGGTAGCATACCTAAAAACTGTTTTATTAATGCTTTTTGTTATTGAGATCATTTAATTGATGATTGCGATATTTACGAAGGTCGATCTCTAATTCACTTATGTACATATATAGCTTGAAGTATTTGCTTTCAGGTCGCCAGTAATGTTGTAAAGGTTGAATGTAGGGTTGTCAGCTACGTTGTCAAGCATCTCATTTTGAGATCCTCGGCTATATCTCTGTGATCAGCACGGCGACTTTCAAGCAATGTACACTTTTTCGATGTCATCATGACAAACAAACAAGCTGCCAAACATACAATTATTGGCATATGCAGATCAAACTTCACATGAACATAAACAAAAGTTGTACCAATCTAGGAAAAAAAAATTATTGATACAGTTTGCGTAAACAATGGACCAGTCCGGGTAAAATTTGGTTGCCATATTTATATAATTACGTGGTAATCGCTACTTGGCAGCGCTCTCCAGAAATCAATGCGCGACAATTTTGGAATAAAAACCAGAGTCGAACCGCGCCGACCGTTATACTATAATTCGCGGGCAAAACTACAAGTCCGATTCAGCTAAAATGTAACTGTAATTGTCTAGAAGAATGTACAAGTTGATGGTAAATTGCTTTTGCGATAGAGGCACCATCGGGCAATGCAGATAAGTGACAGACTGAACCGTCGTAAATTAGTGTATAGTATAATTAATCTCTAAACAATTTTAATTACTTTCTCTGAGAGAAACGGCATTTCGAAAATATATTAAAGGAGAATTTAGAGTAATTTTGAACTTAATTGGCATTGTTTTATTTGGTATTTACTTTATCCCAAATAATGTTCGTGCACAAGTTTATGAGCTACCCCTACTCGCATAAAGAAAGGAGTATTTTTAAGCACACAGTGAGAATAACACAAGCAAACAAGTCCTTCATGAAACACACTTCCTTAACTCCGTTATGCCAGGTAAACTACACTATAACAGACGCGCAATATTAGCGACTTAAATTGCAACTACTTAACACAAAAAATGTACTAACACACTTCGTACCCTCAAAAAATTCTACCAAAAGTCTTAAATAAACATTACCAAATTTCTTAGCAAAAAACTAATGTTTAAACAATGAGCTGTGAGGAGCTTGAAAACATATGTTTATTCGTTTGTGTACTTTTCATCACTCCGCAGTTATTTGGCTTTGACAGCCAGACTAAATGACTGACATATGTATATGGGTACTTATGGATGTGAGTGCTACTTACAGCTGACAAAAACGTTTCGACCTAAAGTAGCACTAAAGAAAGAAGATGCAAAACCCATCTCCACTTGCATGAAGAAATAGCAAAAGTAAATAAGTGTCAGTATGTAATAGTGTAGTTCCAGCAATGGCTAAATATATTGCAATGATTTCCAGAGCTAGAGTTGTCAGACTGACAACTAAGGAGCATGTTTAATGTGGTAAATGACATGCTGACATCGGTAGAGTATATACTAAAATTCATTCATATAAGATAAAATAAGTATGAGTGACATGCAGTAAACCCTTGTGTAAATAAGCTATAGTGAAACTAGTTCATTGTGGACCGCTGCTGCATAGGTTGTAGTTTTTAATTTTATGTTTTTTCCATGACGATTTGTTCAAGTGAGCGGTAGTAGATTAATTTATTTATAAAGATTTTACAAATTATACACATAAATATTATTATATAGCACTATTATATTTTCGATCTTAAGTAGAAGGGTTAGATTAATCCAATTTTATACTAAATTTATCAGGAAAGCAATATGTTTCAATATATCTGCACCCAGCGATCAATTTGGTTTTTCCAGCTAACTGTTAAAACACATCTCATCACTTCGTTTTAGAGACATCTGATTGAAATATGGTGTAGAAGTGCATTATAAAAATGTTTATAGATCCATTATAATAACCTATAATGTATCTAAAAAATAAATATCTTTTAATTCTCTAGGGATTTCAATGTATTTTAGGGAGGTTTTGTTTTGCATGGATTTATAAGAACATTTTCTTCCATTAGCCTAAATTTTAAAATTTACATTCTCATCAATGTTTTACTAGTTTAGAGATTAAATATAGTCACAAAATATCCTCCATGCCACTACAGTGTGTCCATCAGCTGTGAGTACATATATGAGTTAGCTCTGAAATTGACTTGAAGAGCTAAGCACATACATATGTTCGCGCACAAAAACAGACTTGAGCTGTAAGAGAAAGCACTGTGTGCTTCTATAATAATATATGTCGTAGCGTGTCTTATTCTGCCCCATCCGGTGTGACACTCTTCTGCTAAGAAGGCAATAAAACACAATTTCATATGTGCATATACATAAATACATATATACCATATATGAATATTTGGATCTGCATATTTGTATGTACCTTACCTTTTTAAGTATCTATATACGTTTCTACATGCTTCTTTCCAGCGCTTGTATTCATTAAATGTATTAAAATCATGTCTCGAATGCACAAAAGCGCCATATGCATTCAAGCAACGTTTAACTTTCAAATTATTCACAAAAAATTAACTCAATGGATACACTTACTGTATCTCACTTTTTAACTTTTTGCATTCTTATCGCTCATTTTTGCAATAATTATGTAATTAACTCTATTTTTGACTATTTTTTCGTCTTGTATTTTTCAGACTTCCTCAATTAAGCAGCGGCGGTTAAATACAAATTTAGCATACATTTGAGGTGAGTTATTGCAATAGCACACGAATTAATTATTGTAAGCGAGCTTGTTCAATAAAAATACTGCTGAAAAATTAATGCATTTTAACATTTTCCACTTAAAATTTAAAATTTATTGCACACGCACGTCACTCCGTTTGCAACTCCTTTCTAAAGTGCTACCCAAATAGCGATACCGTACTTTTGAATGTTTGCAGCGGTGTGCAGCTAAAAATATTTCTAACCATTAGCAATACGTTTGAAAATGGATTTTGTTTGAAATGGGTTTTCAAGGAAAATGGTCTGCAAATTGGCTGGTTGAAATTAAACTTTATTTATACTCATAGAAACTTACAAAGAACCCTAAATACACATATGCTAATGCTCAGCATATATTTATATATATATATATATATATATACGTCAAAAGCACATTTACCATTCGAAATTAATTATGTCTATACATATCCTGCACCTGCACCTACATCCATCTCAATTCCTGCGTTACTTATACGCCCCAGCCACCTGTGTGTTTTCTAACGCCTAAAGTGTTAAAATAGCAACGACAACGTAATATGAGTAGATTAGTATTTGAATTTCCCAACACTTCGCCGTAGCAAGAACTTTGAGAATTTAAGCCAATTATATTTAATTAAAGTGCGTGCGAAGGCTTGATATCTACATACATACATATAAACGCAAGCTATATAGCAAGTAGTAATTCCATGCTTATGTGGGTGGTTTGTGTTTTAGTACATGAAAGCTCACCGCTGAGTGAACGAGAATTTATGAGAAAAAAATTTTGCGAATTTTCTGAGCTATTTTCAGATTGTTTTATGCATAATCAGCATAATCCTGAACGCTGTGGGTTGAGTGTTTGAAAATTAATTTCTTGATTTGTACAGTTATTAAAAACAAAAAAAGTTAAAAGGAATTAGTTTTTTCAAACAGTTATTTCTATATATGAGAACTTATAAATATGTATAGTTTAAAGAAGTATTCTGTTTGGATAAAATATTGAAAGCACGAAATAATAGTAACTTCGGCCATAATACCCTTCAAAGGTGCTTTTATAGCATATAAAGGTGTAAAACGACCTTTACCTGGATTTCAATTGGTTACTCTGACTACAACTATATGCTAAAATGGTCAGATCAGAAAAATATGTTTGAAGATGTTTGCGTTGGTTTAAAAAATAGCCGAATTTCGCAAAGATTTCTTGTGAAATAAAAAAATTTCTGTACAAGTAATCCAGTGAAATAGGCCAGCTTGTATGAAAGCTATATGCTATGGTGGTCCGATTTGAACATTGCATGCTATTGTAGCGTTGTCTTAGATAGTAGTCTGTGCCAAATTTCATGAAGATATCTTCTCAAATAAAAAAGTTTTGCATACAAGCATTTGATCTTGATCTATCACTGTATGGCAGAAATATTCTATAGTGATCCTATATCGGCGGTGCCGACAAAAGACCAATTTCTTGGGAAGAAAAGGACGTCTGTAAAATTTCAGAACGAGCTTATAAGCAGATAAATAGACGGACATGGCCAAAGCAACTCAGGTCGCCACGCCTATCATTTATATATGTATATATTTTACAGGGTCTCGGACGTTGCCTTCTGCTATTTATAGGATATAAAAATTTAAAAACTTGTTTGACACTGCAAGGCTCTTAGGTACTTGAATATTTTCAAACAAATTTGGTTACGTCTATTTAAAATAAAATGTATATATCCTGTAATCTAATCTTATTTCCAACTATGTTAATTTCAGGCGCTAAAGAGGAACACAAGATTATTAAATAGTTATTTTTAACTACATTATTATTATGACTCTACTCTTCAACCTATTATGTAATAACAGACTTATATAAAAATAAACTTCTTTATTTTGGATTTCAATAATAATTACTCAAGATTACAGAAGCGTACTTATTAATTATTTATTTAAACATAATTAGTGAAAAAGTTTTTGTAATGCTACTACAAATATAATACATATTATAAGAAGCAAAATCATAATCTAACGAATGCCAAAGAAAGCCTATATTCATTTAAATCCCATAGATTTTACCCATGAAATAGCGTAATGAGGCGTTTGCTATATTCTCTAAAGATGAATAGCTGAAACGTAAAAACCTCTTTCAACTTCTAGAAGACACATTTATTAAGTATTTATTGAATTAATTTTTTTTGCAGCTAGCTTTGATATCCCATTACACCCTCTTGACTGAGTCGCTCCTACTGATATATTTAATTTTAGACTTTGTTTGTATTTTCTAAAACCCACACGTATAAATAAATAGCCAGGCTTACATACATGGCTGCATTAATATATCACTCAATAAAAAGATATTCTATTAATGTTGAATTCAAAATATTTTGCATGTGCTGCATTCGAAAAGTGTAAATCAAAGCATTTTCAATTCACGCGTGCATTTATCTTTATCAAAAATGCTCGAAGAAAAAAATTTACCTCAAATTAGGACAAACACATTTCAATTGTGAGTGAATTGATCATGGGCAGCAACAATGGACAATGGGAGGCTGTCGGTATTCAATGGAGTGCCCTGTTGGAAATTTTAGAGTTTGCGGATTTCCGATTTAATTTGAAAGTTTGATTTATATATTGAAAGGAACATAATATACACATTTTTTTATTTATTTAAAGTTTAAATTAATATAAAAAAATATTTAAAAATATTTTTTGGTTAAAATCGAGCTAAAAATTAACTAGGCTAAGTTTTTCAAAAACTTATTTTCAAGATTCATAAAAAAAAGTAAAATAGTCAATAAAACAAAGTTCAATAAAATTTTACTTTTTTTTAATTATTAATATCCAGTTCAGCAGTAATAATAATAATAATACTTCTAACTCAATGGTGACAAATGGCAAATTTCTTTCTGGGCCTACACTTACGTGAATATCAAATGCAATGGGGAAATTTTATTTGTGCAGATATATTACAATGACGCCTACTATAGATAGCAGAAACCCCAATAAACGATATTGATCGACATATACATGCGTACTTAAAACTAAATTGGTAATAAATGCATATGAAAAGGGTGAAATATTATTTTTTGGTCTAAAACAGCCGATAAGCAGTGAGTTAACCGAATAAACCATAAGATTATAACTTAGTTGGGAGTTAAAAAAGTAATTTTCGAATATATATATACAGATATTGATTTCTGTGTTTCAAATTGCTTACTGGGTTATGCAGAATTTTACCTCCGAGGCTAATCAAATATTTCAGTGCACAAATATTGTAAACATGGAAAAGGAAAAACTATTTTGTTCACAAGCTTGTAACGTGTTTTATATTATTTTTGTTGCTATTCAAATTTTAGCGTGTTAAATTTGGTTCGTTTATATTTAGAAACAAAAATTGTGCTGGAAAATTAAAGCAAAGCAACCCTCGATGAAAACCAGACTGCTAGGCGGTTGAAGTCACTTGCAACACACACAAACACACAGCGTTGCATTTAAAAGTATATTTCTTTCTATTTTCAGACATATTTAAAATATATGCATTTTGTGCTTCAATAAATTATTGTGTGTGTATGTTGAGGAGCACTTTAAATTGTAGTTAATCGCTTTATATCTTTGTGTACATTTAGAATAATTTCTTTTTGGGTATATTTTACCGCAGTTCGTCTTAAACTTCTCACTTGAGTTTAGAAATAAATTTATTGATATATATATTTCTTTTAATGGGTGGCAATTATGGTATAAGTAAATGTGTATAGTTCAGTATTCTGCGATGAGGGACTTAGTGTAATTGAGAAAAAATTTAGTTTATTGACTAAATTATCGATTTACATTTTTATTCTTAGGGAACGGCTCAAAAGTTGCACTCGTTTTATTTGTATTGAAAGAACAACTTTCGTTTGTTTCTTACCAAAATAAATAGAATATGAAAAAAACTAAAGAATGCTTTCCAATGCTACGAGGGTGGACATTATTTTTTGGAATACGACTGACTTGGTTCAATCTTGGGCGTGATGAAATCCGAAACTGTAGCCATTAAAGCTCAAAACCGACAAATGATATGAGCATCGTTACGTAGACCGCACTAAAAAAGGTATTTTTAAAAATTAATCAGTCACGCGGCAGTCTTTTAAAACGTTTAGGGACTTCATATAATTTTTATATTAAACATTATTCCTAGTTAATTATAATTGATACCTTTTACTACAATCCATTCAAATGGCGATATCTATAATTCTCTCTGTCCGTATTTATTCGAAATAATCATCGCAAACAACTGGAACACCGAGTTTTACAAGCTTTTAATAAGGTTAATTTTTTCACTACAAAAATCATTCGCTATAGGCAGGAACAGCTAGTAATCACTTGGTTCGTGATCTAAACTATAAGGTGGATGCTTAAGAACTTCTCAACTAAGCTCCTGGAGCTTCTGGCGAGTAACTATCGATATGTGTGACCTGGCTTATCCCTATGAAAAACAATTCCTCTCCTATTGGTTAAAGCTGGTGACTTTCTGGACGATTGCTTCCTTCAGACGGTTCAACCGTTGACAGTACAAGTCCGAATTAAAAGTTTGGACGCAATGTAACAGATCATAGTAAATGATTACCTGCAAATCACATAGTAAAACATTCATGGCCGCCCATATTGGCTTGGTCACCATTTGTGCGGGTTCGTATAATTATTTTCTTTGGGTACTTAGAATTTTATTTATTTTTATTCGGAATCAAGTTGTTGGTTGAAAACACCCATTATTGTAGATGGTTGAACCAAACATTTTTTTAAATTTAACAGATTCAAAATAAATCAGTTTTTCAGTTCCATCAATGTTCTTGATTGCTTAAATTTCTATAAATAACTAAGATATATTAAGATCTATATATTAGATATAAAATATACAATTAAAAACAATAATTAATTAGAACATAAACTAATCGGAAGAAGTAACATATAAAAAAAATATATATATATATATATATTAAACTATCGCTACTGAAAAAGTCCCATATTATCAAGATGTATTTTTATTT